CCCCAAAACCCCAAAACCCCAAAACCCCAAAACCCCATTTTGAGAATATATTATTAAAAGTATTTAAAATTTGAAAAATGGTCCAGTGAGAAAGATGATATACTGAGTTTAATAGCACTCTTAATTGACCAAGATTATTAACTGACTGAGGCCATACAATTTGTGAGCAATGCCTTCATGAACTACTCGAATCAGCCTGTGATCAAGATGAAAGAAATCATTCCTCAGATGAGGCTATATTTTATTGTCCTGAATGAGGAAAAGAGTATGAATACAGGTCTGTCTCAAGTTTTCCAAAGAATTTATATTTACTAAACTTAAACCAGCCGAAAAAGGATGAAGATAGAGGATCTTCTAAAAGAGGTTCTTCTCATAAAAGCTCAACCCCAGAGAAATCTAGCTTAAATAACTCTAACGACAATGTTATCTGAGAGTTTCATCTTAAGAAAGTTGAAGCTTATTGCATGATGTGTAGGCAGGTTCTCTGAATTGATTGCATTCTTAACGATGGCCATAAGAGCCATGAAATAAATTCCATTGAAAAAGCATCAGGAATTGAGAAGAACCTGTTCTATGACTTCCTAAAGCACTCAATGGAGATAGAAGATACTATAAAAGCTCATAATTTAGATATAGATAATCATTTCTTGGTAGTAAGAAATCAAGCCAGCAGAAATAAAGAAGCTATTACTAGGATCTTTGGGAAAGTTAGAGACTTAATCAATAAGCGAGAAGCTGAGCTAAAAGACAAAATTAGTTCAGTGTTGGATGAAGAAGAGTCCTACCTTAATGAAAAGAAAACCCAGCTAAACTCTCAGCTGAAGGTTATTGATGAATTTAAAAGAGAATCTAGAATAATTGACTCTAATATCGATATTAAGGTACTGCAGCATTCACAAGAACTTTACAACCTATCCCAGAGAGCTTTGGAGAAGCATAGCACTGCGACTCTGAAGGATCCATTTGTCAACGTCAAAGAGGATATAGAAATAATGCAGATCTGTAAGATGATTAATCCTTCCTTGAACACTACAAACATAACTAAAAGTATGAAGAATTCAAAATATTCATCAGGAGGGTACAGGCCTCAGGGAAGCAGGACCAAATCAAAGGATGGTAGATCAGAGAATCTCAAAAGCACCACCCTCCTCAAGAAAGGAAATTGGAATAATTCTGGGAATATTGGTAATGAATTGAACTAATCTTCAGCTAAGAAATCAAAGATTTCTGATCCAGTAAGTCAGAAGCAGAAAGAAGAGCCAAATTATACAAAAGCAATTCATAATAAGAAAAGAGGGAAGCAGAATCCTATAGGTAAATCTTTGCTTTAATACCATAGATGAAATGGATAATGCACCAAGCTCTGGGAAGAACACCCAGGTCTCCCAAGGAAGCTCTGAAGCTTGTCTCAGATCAAGCGTAGAAGCTTATAAGAAAAAGCAAGTAGGAAGAAAAGGTCCTCATGATTGGAAGAAAAATGACGAGAAAATAATGCAAGAATCTAAAACTCCTTTTACTACAGGAACAAGAGGTCCTTATCCTCCATTTAAGAAATCAACATCCTTGAATGAAGCCAGGAATAAATACAAGAGTGATCGAGCGAAGGGAGAAAAGATGAGAAAAACTGATTCTGGGCAGGAAGTATCAAATGCTCCTAAGGTCCCTCGATTAGGACCTACCAAGTCCACTCCAGTGTACCACTCACCTTCAGAGAGTCTTCCTTCTTACAGAAAAGAAGAGGTTAAAGGGACAAATGAGAACTTTGAGATTCCTTCAAATTGGGAGGTGAGTAGGATCGAGCAGAACAGTGAACTTGAAAAATCCTTCAAGAAAGAGATGAGAGGGATACTCCCAATGGGAGAAAAGTCTCAAGGATATGAAATTGAGAGGAGACTTGAAGACTATGAAGAACACTCTAAAGACTTCACTCAGTCACAAGGGCGTAAGAAAGTTTCTGCATCCCCTGCCTCTGAAGATAAAACGATGACCTCCATGGTAACTAGCCAGAAGGATGTGACTAAGCATGACCTTAGCCGAATGATGATCACAGTTGATCAATTTATTTATGTAATTTCTGGATATAAGAACACTACTCTTTCAAGTGTGGAGAGGCTTAACTTGAACAAAGGAATTTGGCAGCCAGTAAGCGATATCAACATTGCTAGGACCAAATTTGGAAGCGTATCGGTGAAAGGACAGAAAATATACCTTCTCGGAGGGAAACTTGTTGATGGCTCCAGAACTGATATCATTGAGGAATATGACGTGAGTAAAGACCAATGGGTAGAATCTAAGCTGACAATGCCATCTCCGAGATCTGGCTTCTCAAATGTCCTTCTCAGTGACAAGCAGTTGATTATAATAGGAGGAAATGATGGCCAGGTTCTCGAAACTTGAGACTTGCTAAATTTAGGAACAGGAGAATGGTCCCAAATCCCTTCTATGATGACCAAAAGAGATGAATTAGCAGTAACTATTGGCCCAGATGGAAAGATTTATGCTATTGGAGGATATGGAGGTCAGAATAGCACTTGATTAAAATCAGTGGAAAGATTCAACTTGCAAACATATGAATGGGAAAGAGTAGCCGATCTTAATGAACCTCGAAGAGCTCTTGCAGCTGTCTCATTACCTGATGGTGTCTATGCAATTGGAGGGTATAACGGAAGTAAATACCTTGGTAGCATGGAAAGGTATGATGAAGTAAATGATTGTTGGATAAAATGAGCAGAAATGAACAGTCCCCGCTGCACTCTTAGTGCGGTTAGTTCTAATGACTGCCAGTATATTTACACAATGGGAGGATTTGATGGATCTTATATGGATGTTGTAGAGAGATATGATCATGTTCATGATTCTTGGGAGTATGTTACTCCAATGATGACCTCAAGATTCATGCATTCTTCTTGAATTGTAAACATCATAAGAAAGTAATTTCAATAAAGCTTTTATAATTAGGGGTTTTGGGGTTTTGGGGTTTTGGGGTTTTGGGGTTTTGGGGTTTTGGG